CTCAGCTGCCCCCGCTGCAGCCCAGGCAGGACTCACCCTCTAGCACAACAGTTCTCAATTTTTGGTCCATGGACTACCTGGCTCAATGTGCACACCTTTCCACAGACCACCAGTCACTAATGGAAACTAACCGTTAATTATGTAATTATGCCCAAGCTGTTTTGCTAGTGTTGCAGCTAGGGAAAATGGGTTAATTTAAATTGTTAAACAGATAAAACATTTTAACTTTCTCATGTTAGTTTATCAAACTTCATTTTAAATGGAGTAAAATACTAATTCATGTCCAACACAGAATTTCAGTGTTTTCTTTATGGCAGAGGTGGAGAGCTATCAGTTGGGGACCACACAAGTGAGAAGCGCCCCCCCCCAAAAAAAACCCACTCCCAAAATCCCCAACCCTCTGAGCCTGACCCATCGTACCCCAGTCCACAATTCCCCTATTACCTCCTCACCCTGGCCCCCTCTTCTCCTGCCCCTGGCCTCCCCTCCCCCACCTCTCCAATGGGGTGGGTGGGTTCCGGTTCTGTGCAGAGTCCCTGTGCTGCCTGGTGGAAGTGGGCGGGAGCCAGGGTGGTTCCTGTGGGTTCTGAGGGTGGACTCCCCCACCTCATTGCTTCTTTCTCACTCAGCCCCCTCACTGCCTCATCATTACCCAGCCCTTGACACCCCAGAACTCCCACCCATCTTGCACAGTGGTGGCTACTTGGGGATGGCCCTGGCCAGGCCCCGGGGCAGGGCAGCTTGTTCCCTCCCCCTCTACCTGTGGGTTCTCACATGCTGGCAGGGCTGGGGCTGGCAGAGCAGCAGTGGCACACATGCAGGGGTGGGACCTCAATCCCCCGGCTCTGCACGGGGTCCCTGTGCCGCCTGGCGGAAGCGAGTGGGGGGCTTGGGCGCCTCTCCTAGAGAGATGCAGCAAGGGGCTATTAAAGCTCAGTCTTCCTATGCATTGGCAGGGATGCACATGGAAAATTTGTCCCCATGGAGTAGTTCTAGGCTACGCCGTCAGTCCTTTGTTCTCCTGAGCACTGTCTTCAATACGCTTTTTAAAAAGGGAATCTTAGCTATTGAACTTCTGATACCATCTCTTCCACTGCTCAAGTTTGTGGCTCTATCGGAAGGTCAGTGCAGTAGAAGAAAATGAATGATAAACGTTCATAGTTTGTTGATGATAGCAAGTAAATGTTGCCCTGAAATGCAAAGCTTCCTGGACTATCTTGCAGTGTAATCTGCCTTGTCCTCTGATGTACCCTGGAAACATACTGAGAGAGAGTTGGTGGTAAATCTTGTGAGGGGCTTCACAATAATTTTCCATTTGCTCAGCACTACCATCTACAGGGAATAACACTTGGTTTGTTTCACTCCTTGGCAGTTTACAAAGCAATTAGTAGCTTATCAGATGTTGTCATGCGCTTTACCGCCAAGGCCAGAAGAACTGGACTTGTTGAGAGGGAAAATATTTCTGAGGGGGAAAATATTTCTCACAAGCATTTCCATTTGCTTATTCTCAGTATGTACTGCCACACCCTTTTTGTCTATTACTCCAGAGTCTTCTATAAAAGGGCTGTAAATTATTTTATTTTTGTTGCCCATGAGCAGCTACCAGGAAGACCTCAGTTAAATATATGCCTTTCCCACTCCCATATCTCCTTTGCTCTGTCTACAACATCAGCATCAAATGTCAACCCAAATTTTATGAGAATATAAATGCCAATTGAGCCATAACGACACTTGAAAAGTCTAAGCCAGACTGTTCTTTATGACTTATTTTTGAGATTCTCAAAACTTACTGATGTGAAAAGTGTACATTCAGCTTTAAATCTGTAGCCAGCTAGAAAATCTGGAGGGCAATTTTAACATGTAAACAGGTGTCAGGGTCATCAGATGTACATTTTTGAGCTCTGTTTCCACCCTCATGTGTTTAGAGTTTCTTTTGGGGAGTGTTGTCTTTAAGTTTTTCTATCTCCTAAATATCTGTGTTTATGCGAAATGCTACAAAACCCTTCCAGTGTATATATGCTGAGGGGAAAACCAAATAAGGGAAGCTTTCTGGCTGCAGAAGCCTCTTATATAAGCATTGAAATCTGTATAGTGTCTTTGTCTGTTTACTTGGTTTTGTACACAGAAGGCAAACTTTGACAGAATTGCCTGACAGTAAGAGCTCTCCAGATCAGTTTCTAGTCTTTTCTTCCATTATGGAAAGTATTGTTGAATGTGTATTCCATTTTTTGAGTAATTCACCTGGTGAGAATTAATTACACCTCTGCTTATAGCTTCCCCTGGAATTCTTTCCTTATAAGAAATGGCTCGGTGAAAGTGTTTCCTGAAACTTGTTGATACTGTTGGATGTGTGGCTGTTGATGAACTAGTGAAAATGCAAAGCTCTGAGTTGCATATAAAACTTAGAATCCCATTGCATTTCTAATCATGTAACTAATCCCTTGCTTATGAAACATTTTCAGAATACACTTGTATGGGGAGGTTTTTCACGATTTCTCTCACTTGAACATCCTTCAGAGTTCCTTTTTTTTTTTTTTTTGTGGGGGAAGTTGTGTGCAAACCTCAAATATCCTGTGTGGTAGAAAGTAATTTATCTCCTCTCTTGTGGTCTTATGCCTTATTTTCTGTGTGTGTGTGTGTGGGGGGGGGGGCAGCTTCTGTGCAATACTGTTCCAGATAGGGGGAACCTCAAATGGATTCTCCTATGTGAAACCATCTCAGGGAGTTGTGAAAAGCAGCTTTCAATTTCCTTGTCTGCAGTATGAGCAGCAGTCTGTAGAGATTATGGCTCTTGTTACTTAGATCAAGGTGGAACTAGGGATGCTAAATTTAGATTAATGGGCTAATCGAATAGTCGATGATAAGGGCATCTTTGTCTTTGAAGTGTAGCAACAACCCCAGGGCTGTTGCTACATTTCAGAGGTGAAAGTGCTGCAGGAGCACAGGGCCAGTGGGGGACTCAAGCAGTCTCCTCACTGGCCCCATGCTCCCCATGGTGTTTCAAAGCAGCAGCGCCACATGGAGCCTGGGGCCAGCTGCATGTGGAGTTTCATAGCAGCAGTGCCGTGTGGAGCTCGGGGTCTGGCCCCTAGCTCCATACAGCGCTGTTGCTTTGAAGCATTCTCTCCTCTCTTGGATGCCTCTTTCTGATAGAGGCAGCAAGAGGGTAGGAGTGACTAGTTGGCTAGTGTGTCAACTATCTGAGAAGCATTTGCTTAACAGATAGTCAACTAGTTGTTCACATCCCTTGATGGAGCATTGAATTAGGACCTCTAATCTCTCTACTTCAGCACTCTTGTATGGAAGATGAAGGCAGCTGTTGTCTACTTAATATAAAAGTTAGATTTAGAGTGAGGACTCCTGGCAAATTTCCACAGTGATCCTTGGATGGACACTGTGCCCAGCTTAAATGTGTATGTAGAATTTTAGGTCAAGTTTATGCATCATTGTAATGGAATATCCATATTTTAATTGCCTGTGGCCCGAGTAACATGAATACAAAATTCCTTCTTAAATCTGAAGAGATACTTGCTATGATCCTAGCTTTCCAGTGTCCACTGATTATTAGTCACTTGAATTGTATTTTACCCCAGTTCACCAGTTATTTATTGAGTAGCAAATGAGAGAACCTTGGAACAGGAATAAGTGGCTGTGAAATGTGGGAAGTTCTGTGGAATTAAGCATCTCATTCGTCTTCTGTCTATTCCTTATAACAGAGACCAAAGGCTTGTCTGGCCCCCCTCCACTTTCTGAAATGGATTGTCTTTGGGGCTGGGGGAAGAGCATGAGAGGTGTGTGCTGGAACAGTCTATTTTCTCCGTGGGGTAGAGGCCAGTGACTCTGTCTGCCCTCCCTGTGTGCTGCTGTTGCTGATCCTTGGTGCCCTGAGATGACATGACAACGTAGACATGACAGGTTTTGCTGCATAATCTAGCTGGCTAACTGTTTTCTGGATTTATTTTAGTATACAAACAAGACTGGCTTTAAATCCCCACTGTTTTCAGTGGGTCACTTCCAAAATATGCTTTGAAGGACAACTTAACAGTCAGATGCACTGATGTGGTAATTTTGGTAAATAGCTGAGAAATTCGTGTCTCAGAAGGGGCTCCCACTGGTTTTGGTACTGAATTACAACTGTGCATCTCTTATCTAGTTACTCAGTGCTGTAAGTTTCTCAATTGGTGACATTTTACCATTCTGAATGTGTAACATGAAAATTCCTATCATGCTTTACAGGGGTTGGGAGAATCTACTGCTTCCAGCTGCAGTGATCTAACTATTGCTGGAGAGTAGGTCACCTATATCTCAGGGAATTTCTTGCCTCGTAAATTCAAAATAAATAGAAGAAAAGGTCAGAGTAGAGTTCATGGTGGAGAGGTGTATAGGACAGAAGCTTGCTATTTTCTTCTGTAGGTGGTGTTTGATCAGGTTTCTGTTTTAGTGAGACTGCTGAGAGAGAACAAGGGGATACTTTTATAAAACCAAACAGTTCAAGCATGTAGAAAGGGACCCCCATCATTTGTAGTCTGCCTTTCCCATAGCCGCCTGTCATTTCATCACTTTACAGTTCCAAAAGGTGATGTGTGGTTCTTCTGAGACAGCCTCCTATAATCCAGTTTGACATTCTAGAAAATTCAGCTTATCCTGCTAGTCCAGTGTTTCTTAAACAGTGTTTCGTGGTAAGGCAGTTGGAGGTGTACCGTGGAGAACAACAGAGTTCAAAATGTCCTGGATTTTTTTTTCTCTTTTTTTTTTTTTTTTTTTCCTCAACAAAAAAATCCTTGGTGTTCCTCATTTTTTAAAAAAAAATTGTTTGTTGTTCCTCAGTCTTAAAGTTTAAGAAACACTGTGCTAGTCTGTTTCCCAAAAAGTCTTTCTTGAGAAGATGTGCTGTGGTGCAAAACCCATAATATGCCTTCAAACCAGCAAAATGAACAAGCGCTCAGTGTGTTGTGCTTTCCTTCAATAGAAGTCTTGTTAACACCTATTACTGTAAATGATGTCTGTTATCTAATCCTTTGTCTGTTTTCTGCAACTCGCTTGCTTTGTTCTTTATAACATCTGTTATTTTCTGCTGGTCTATCACTACATTTCTGCCGCCCCTCCCTCTAGCTGGGTTTGTCAAGTCGCCCATGTCAGAAACTAAACTCACAGGGGATGCCTTTGAGCTGTACTGTGACGTGGTTGGGAAACCCACTCCAGAGATCCAGTGGTGGTATGCTGAAGTCAACCGGGCTGAGTCTTTCAAACAGCTGTGGGATGGTGCTCGGAAGCGCCGTGTCACCATTAACACTGCCTACGGGGCGAACGGCGTGAGTGTGCTGAGAATAACCCGCCTTACATTGGAAGACTCTGGGACTTACGAGTGCAGGGCCAGCAACGATCCCAGGAGGAATGACTTGAGACAAAATCCCTCCATAACGTGGATTCGAGCCCAGGCTACGATAAGCGTCCTTCAGAGTGAGTTCAGCACCCTACAGTAGTAGTACTGTAGTAACTAGAGGCAGTCCAGTGATCCTTCTCCCCCTCCCATGACCCTGGATATTACCACCCTTTGTCTTGTTTTTTGAACCCTAGATTGTCCTTCTGGTTGTAGTGCTTGATAGTGTATCTGCCACCTTTTATCTGTCTCTCTCTTCCATAGGATCAAAGGACTTGTGAAAATCTGTGGAACTGTCCTACAGTTCCTGTGTGAAAACAAGCTCAGTGTTGGATTTTTTTGTTTTTGTTTTCCACTCCCCTTTACTTTTATAGTAGGTTTCCTGCATCCTATCGCTGGTTCCTTCATGAGTGCCTTTCTATTTTGGTTTTTATTCTTTCCTGAGCTAACCACTTTTATTTCTTCTGTTTCCTTGGAATCTCTGAATACCTTCCTCATCTGCGTGTTTTGAGTTCATAAGTTTCTGTACAAATCCTTTCCATTTGGATTTCGTTACATGTGACCTTTTAAAGCATGTATTTTTCCATAAAGTCATGGAACTTCTTTTCTGAACAACATGTGGTTTTAACAGATTCTCTGATACAACAGCACCTTACTGATGCAGCTGTTTCTCACATGGTGTTGTGAGGGGATGTTATCAGCTACATGTGAACTAGCTTTAGACAATTGACTCCCCACTGAGAACGTGCGGGTGCGCACTCTCTCTAAACACTTTGGCTATGTCTAGACTAGGGGAGAGAACAAGTCTGGTCTTCCACTTTTTTGCAGTAGAGTAGACATGCTCGTTCAGAAGCCCTGTCTTCCTCTTCCACGAGGAAGAAGGGCTCTTCCAAAAGAGGGTTTTTTCCAAAATTTGGCCCAATGTACATGGGCCAAATTTCAGAAAAGGCTCTTCTGAAAAAACTACCGGAAAAAGATAAACAAATTGCGGAGCGTAATTTGCATACCTTTTTTCTGATAAAGCCCTGTAGTGTAGACATAGCCTTACGGTGGATAGGAGTGGATTCTCAATTGCTGCTTGTTTCATTTTTTGTCATAAATTTTGTACACCTGTTCTGCTGTCGTTACTAAGTTCCAGGTGAGTTTTGTCTCTGGTATTTTCAGAACCTATTTAACACACAATACAATACATTAGTGCCCTTCCTCTATTCAGTTGAAGTGGGTTGTGCCCACAAAAGCTCTTGATACCATCTACATGTGGTGTTAGTTTCCAAAGTGCTGCAGAAACATTTGTTGTTGTTTGTCTTTTTCAGTAACAGACAAACACGGCTCCCCCTCTGAGACGTATAGTATTTTGATGTATCTTGAATAGAAAGAGTACCACTTGCTTTGTCTACGCTTAAAAGTGCAGGCTAGGCAGTGCTTTAAACTGAAAGTACGGGCACAGCGTGAGCGCTGGAGAGCTCTCCTAGTGCTCCATGTAAATCACCCCCATGTGGGCAGTAGCTAATAGAGCTGGAAGTGTGGCTCCCAGTGCGGTAGCCTGGTTCACACTTGCACTTTACAGCACTGTAACTTGTTGCGCTTGGGGGGGTGCTTTTTCATGCCCCCAAGCCAGAAAATTACAGCTCTGTAAAGTGCCAGTGTAGACTTAGCCTTAGCTGTAGTGATTGATAAACCCTTGCATCTACACACAGTCACAGTGAAGTGCTTACAGAGACTGACTTAACTATGTACATTTAAGGTACACAGAAGGTAAAGGAGAGGTTTTTTACTAGCATAAATGTCTCACTGTTTTAGACTGTGAATAACCGAGGATAGATGTTTATCTTTAACACTATTCTGAGGGTATGTCTACACTGCAACGCTATTTCGACATAACTGGCACTATTCTGAAATAACTTAATCTGTCTGTACACAGCAGGCAGTTATTTTGAAATAGTGTCAAAATACTGTCAATCTGGAGGACTCCTTACTCCAACTCCTGTAAACCTCATTATATGAGGAATAGGGGACGTCGGAAGAAGTGCTGTGTTTCAAAATAAGCGCTGTGTGGACTCTTCCTATTTCAACATAAGCCAGTTCAAAATAAGCTATGCAATTGACATAGCTCAGTTTGCGTAGTTTATTTCAAGTTAAGCCCTGCCCTGTAGCTGCACCCTGAGTGTTTGTGTACATAAACCATGAGGCTGTCTCTAGACTGGCAAGTTTTTCCGAAAAATCATCTGCTTTTGCGGAAAAACTTGCCAGCTGTCTACATTGGCTGCTTGAATTTCTGGAAAAGCACTGATCTCAGGTAAGATCGTCAGTGCTTTTCCAGAAATACTACGCTGCTCCCATTTGGGCAAAAGACTTTTGCGCAAAAGGGCCAGTGTAGACAGCACAGTACTGTTTTCCGCAAAAAAGCCCCGATCGCAAAAATGGCGATCGGGGCTTTTTTTGCAGAAAACCGCGTCTAGATTGGCCACGGATGCTTTTCCACAAAAAGTGCTTTTCCGCAAAAGCATCCTTCCAATCTAGACATGCTTTTCCGAAAATGCTTTTAACGGAAAAGTTTTCCGTTAAAAGCATTTTCGGAAAATCCTGCCAGTGTAGATGTAGCCTGATAGTGCAGAAATGTAACGTCTAGTTCCCATCTCTAAAACATCTGTTGAGCTTCATATTGGATAACTCAAAGGCTCAGATTGTGTTCTGTAGGAACAATATAGTTTCTGAAGGAGCCCCATGCAGATGTAAGCCTAGTAGCTGGTGCTCAGGGGAGGTACCAGGCTGGACTGTCCAACAGCAGTACAGGAGAGTGCTGCAATGTGGATTATGGTGGGAAACAGGCAACCTGCTGTAGGCAGTTTTGATGTATCAGAGAACCTGCCTCTGGAAAATGGAAAGAACATGAATGTACGTGGGAAAATAAAGAGAAGTAACCAATGACGTAGATTTAGTTTAAAACATAAGAGTCATTGGGTGGTTCGACTTGAAAAATCTGTTCAGGACTTAACCTTTCCCTTGAGTTGGAGGGGTAAGTTATTAACATCAATCACAGCAGCAAGCACCTTCAGATTTCAGGCAGTGGTGTTATCTCAAGGTGAACTTGCTGAAGGGCACTTCATATCTAACTTCTCCTGGAAGTTGGGTTTCCATCTCAGATACAGTGTAGTTGTACCTGTGTCAGCCTCAGGATATTAGAGATGCAAGGTGGGTGAGGTAATATTTTCTATTTTCTCTTCTGTTAATGAGAGAGAGGCTTTCGAGCTACTCAGAGCTCCTCTTCATAGCACCAATATAAGTTAGTCCAATAAAAGATGACACAAGGTGTGTAATATGACCACCTGCTGCTACTGTCCCTGGAGGTCTGTTGTATTTCCTGTCTCTATTCTTTGCCTACCCACTCTCCTTTTAGTAGTCTTTTGGGGGTGGGGGACCCTTTTTGGAATGAAAATCTAGTAAGTTTCTTGAAGCATTTTTTTTTATTGGAATGGAGGTTCTAAGCTTCCATCTCCTTCCCCAGCCTGTCTTTGCTCTTGCATACTTGTAGTTCAGTTATCCAATGTTTCCTAATTTTGGATTGTGTATTATGACTCTATTGCCAAGTGCCTTGTGTCCAACTCTTCTGTTTGTGTTTGTTTCACATTTGTGAGGTCAGTGTTTTTCTCAAACATGCCCCCAAGGGATGCTTGAGCTGCTGCTGTTTGTGGGAAGCAGAGCTCTAAGGTTTAAACCTCTAGGTAACTGTACACTGGAAATGGAGCTGAAGGTAGACCAAGCCAAAGAAGCTCAGGCTTTATCAGCAAGGCAGGAGTACAAGTCTGAAGTGACCCAGAGTGTGACCCCGAGTGTTCAGGTTGCAAAGTCAGAATACAACAGAGCACTGAGTAGAAACTATCCTGTAATTTTCCATTAGGAGAAATACACCTCCATTCCAATTGTACTCAAACTGAAGGCGTCTGATCAAAATGGTGTTCGAGTCTTCTGCTGATAGTAAGCACTCTTCTGCTGGTCTCATTTGACACCAGTGTCTTGGGTATTCAAAAATAGACACACTAAACTAGTAGAACCTGCTTTAATTCTGGTGGCTAAAATAAAACGCCATTGTCTAATATCAAACAGAATGCAGTGAAAAGAAGCTCTGAATACTGATTGAAAAGTTAAATGGGAGAAATGGAATTTGGTTTCCAACTAGACCCTCAGGCTCCCATGATGCCCTTCCAGAAGGTGATTTGATTCCAGTTGGATGCATTCACTTGCAACCATAACATATGTACAATTGACACCTTAAATGTAACATACAGTAAGGATTTTTCTTCTGAGAATTTTCATGTCCCGGTTTGGAGTGGGACAACTTTTTTGTTGTTCACGTGCACACATAACCCAGTGCCCCTTCCACAATTCATTATTTCCTTAGACCTAAACAACAATGCCTATTTGCTTTTTCTGGGTTTTTTTACAGATGTAGTGTCTTCTGCTTATGTTTTAATACTTAAAGTGGTCAGCAGTCAGCCAACTCTATTACTTTTTCAGTCTTCAGTTCTTCTTGCTTCAAACATCTGTGTTCAGTAAAGATATGAAAGCTCCCAACAAGTCCCGGAAAAAGGCTTATTGTTCACTTGGTTGCCATTATTTCATTCAGCTCCACAAACTTTAAGTGACCACCTATATCACAAATGTTACTCTGTAATTGACAGGTGGGTGAGACTAGATCCAAACTAGTAGAGGTAGCCATTAAAGTCCCAAGCAGCTTGTTTTTTCTGAATTTCAGATCATTAACACAGTCTGAAAAGCAGACCTAAAATGGCCCAGTATTAGGTGACTATGGAAGACATTTGGAAAATAAAGCAATTCCCAAAGCATTTCTAGGTTAAAGCTTCTATTACACAGTTTTTCTGTTCTTGTGGGCTAGATTAAAACTGGTTCCATGACTGGCTTTTTGGTGATATTCTCTGATAGCAGCATGTGTACTTTCCATTGCAGAGTCCCTGAAGGGTGTGCTTTCCTCCAGCAACCACCTTAATGTGTCTGCTGCTTCTGTCCATTGCTCTGCACATAGCCTCTACTAATAGTCAATTTGCTATTACAGTGGCCAGGATACTTGGCTATACCAGTTTTCTCTCTACAGGAAAATGTTCTATATTGTTCACAGACATACATAAAACTGAAGATTTTTTTAATATTGAGTGAAAATCTGCAGAACAGAAGCAACTACCAGGCCTAATAAAACAATGCCTGTTTACAGAATTCCCAGAAATTGAATTAATGTTGCTTCGAGGGTTATTTCTCCTGCCAGTATTTTTATGGTCAGTAGTTTTTGTTTAGCTGCTCAGCTTGCTCAGTGGAGATAATGGGAAAGAAGAGTAGTGGTGGAACGGTGACCAAATGATTTCCCTCCACCTAGGACTTGATCTAGTGGTCCTTGCACAGGTAAAATTCCTAGTGCAGGACATAGTGGGGCAGAGTTGTAGCTGATGGACAGTAATGGTAAAGTTTCTATAAGAGTGTATAGAAGAAACTCCTCCCAGGATTTTTATAGCTGCAGCATCACGTCTGGGAGGGAGGATGGTTCATACAGGGACTTCTGAGTAACTGCAAGGAGTTTGCATAGCTCACCCAGTAGCACTAGGAAGGAAATTATACCCGTTTATATATAAGGGGTGATGTAGGGACTTATTGGGCACTAGTAGTGAGATTTCTCGCCTTGCCTTGGTGGGCAGCAAGAATAGGGGCAAGTATTATATTATTGTGGAGATTGTTACATGATGCCTCTGTTTTTCCCATTAATTTAATAATTTGCTTTCCAAGTGCTTTACAGATGAGCCTTCAGAAGACAGCATGGTGCGACTTAAACATATTTGGAGTACAGATTAAAATAGCTGTCGGCAAGGTTTATGGAACTGACTGGAATAAACTTCTGACTTTCTGACATTATTATGAAATGTTAATTAGGAACTATATGAATGTTTGTATAAACTATACCTGTACCTGGCATCCTATCTGCAGTTTCTTCTCCTACTGATTGGAATGCAAAGGAAATTAATTTATTCAGAGATTAGCATTTTTCCAAGCCTAACCACAAAAATTCTCCTCTTTTAAACCTGTGATTTCTTGTGCTTAATCACTTTTTAGTTTAATGGTAGCTGTCTTCTTGGTCTCAGTAGAAAAATTACTTGTAGTTTGGAAAAAGTGTTTTGTCCACTCCTAGCTACAATGGCCATCTTTCAGAATCTGCTAGTCTTGGATATTGGTCCTTAATCATTTATGCATAATGCTGCTTTCAGATTTAAGGACATAATTCATAATGTCCAAGTTCCCAACACTAATTTCTCTCATATTCATTGTTGGAGTCATATAACTTACAAATTCTCACACTGCCACTCCGGATCTAAATGAGACATTTAAAACGTTTGAAAATAACTAAAATCTTGCTAGTAGAGTAGATAATTCTAACCTGTTTCATGCTGTTGTTGCAAGCAAATTTTACTCAGTGAACAAGAAAATGCTTCCTATTAAATAAAACTAAGGACATTCCCAGTCCAATTTGAGTCCAGGTAGGAAATATATTCTTTTCTGTTGATTTTTAAAAGAATCATTTTCATCCTCCAACTACTGCACAAGCAGGAAATTCTCCCCTCGCTATGACTGCTGTTCTCATGGACTACAAAGTACCAACTCTAACCCTTGTTGGCTGCTCTTCCATGTAGATCTGCAGGCCCTTCTCCACTCACTTGTTGTCTGCTGACCTCACTACTTGACACACGTTTATTTTTTTCCTCTGCGGCCAGAGATTCCGTATACCCTCGCAACAGGAGCCAGAGCCATCCCTTTCCTCTCCAATACTTGGTACATTCTGGAAAGACGTGTGTGGATTATATTGTGCATCTAACTTGCATACTGTTGTGATTCATATACTGTGTGAAAACAGCACTGTGCCAAGTGTCATAAACAGAACTGAGCAATGTTTTCTGGCCTGAATGTGGACTGCAATTATGGGTCCAGCGTTAAAGATGGCCTGCAAAAGAGAGAGTAAAATATATAAAGAAAGCTTCAGTAAATCTTTTTTAAGAATTGGCGAGGTTTTTAAACTTTAAAAATATAAAGAAAGTCAAGTCTTGTCCACTTGCATTGGGGGAAGACTTAATGGATAACTAAAATGAGGACTGGGGACTTTGAAGAATTTTGCTTTATTAAGAATTCAACAATACTCCACTCAATACCATTCAAAGTGAGATAAAATGGCTTTCATTAAAATGAGCACACAGTGAATAAATGCATTTCTGCTCAACTAGCTTTAATTTCTTCACTTCCTGATCAAAACCCTTAGTTCTCAGTAGGTATGTGAACAACTAGTTGATTATCCGATAAGTATTTGCTTACTGGATAGTTGACACACTAGTCGAGTAGTCGCCTCTCCCCCACCCTTGCTGCCTCTCTCAGAAAGAGGCATGGCGGGGGGAGGGGAAAGGAGGGGATACTTCAAAGCAGCAGAGCCACATGAAGTCCTAGCTGATCCTGGGCTCTGTGTGTGTCTGCTGCTTTGAAATGCCACAGGGAACACAGGGCCGATGGAGACTGCTTGAGTTCCCCATTGGCCCTGTGCTCCCCACCGCGCTTTCACCTTTGAAGTGTAGCAACATCCCTGGGGCTGTTGCTGCACTTCAAAGGTGGAGGCACCCAATCGACTAATCAAATAGTTGATGCAAATTGCATCAACTATTCGATTAGTCCATTAATCTAAATTTAACATCCCTTCAATCCCACTTCAGGTGTCTCTAGTTTCTCACTTAGTCGGTCTACACTGGGGATTTTCTCCAATTTCAGCCTTCAGTGTCTGCCTTTTGGTAAAGCTACACCCCAGTGTGGACAGGATAAAAACTGTTTATAAACCAGTTTACACTGTTGTAGCACATTCTGACCTTCGAGCAGGAGCAAGAGCTACAGCACGTTGAACCTCTCTAGCCCAGAACTCTCTGGTCTAGGAACATCTGTTGTCTAGAACGATTAGCTGGATGTCCACTTTTCATGTGTGGCCAGGTTTCCCGAGGTCCCATAAAGTATTTTTTACACCGCCAGTCTTGGCTCTGTGTTCTGTGCTGCTGTTTAGCTTTAATTTACCCCTAAATGTCCTCTAATGGCCCAGCAAGCAGTGGAAGTGTTGCCAGTGCTGCTAGACAATACTGACCACCTGTGGGCCGAAAAAGTGTCTGGTTTGGAACCGGTCAGGTCCCGAGGGTGCCAGACTAGAGAGTTTCAACCTCTAACAGAAAAAGTAATTCTGCGAATTTCCAGTAGGGATTTGTACTGTTGCAGCTACGCTGATGGCAATAAGAGCACATTTCCATTTATAGACATAGTCTGGTTTCTAAAACTGTTGACATGCAGTTTCTTTCCTGGGAACTGGACACCCAGAGAGAAGCATATTAGTCACCAGAGCAGACTGTTTCTGTTGGGATGTTCTATGTCTAGAAAAGTTTGCTTTATTCTGAATTAATAAAACATGCATTATATCGCCCAGAAACAGTGATTCCTTCAGGAGGTGAGGAAAAGCAGCAGATTTTGATTGCATGGTCACTGAACATGCAGCTTCCCTCTTTGCATTCCACTATATGCTAAAGATTTGTAACACACTTACTTGGAGGTGTGTAGAGGGTGTTTTAAGTGTGAAAGTGAAAAATCTCAAATCCTTACTTTTTTTTGTATAGAAGAACTGGTCCTTAAACTGTTGCCTTCTCTAGTGGCCCCCTGTTTGTGATTCTTTATCTCCCAAATTAGTGAAGCAGTAGTTGTTAGCTGAGATTTGACTCTCTTCAATGTGCACTTTGTTCCAGAGCCCGGGATCAATGCCAGCGAGGGTGTGATCATTCACCTATCTAGTTCTCCCATCATCCTGCAATGTAACCTCACCACCAGTCCCAGTCCCCTCATGTACAGCTATTGGATGAAGAATGGGGAAGAGATTTCTGGCACTAAGAAGAATTCAAATACCACAGAGCACAAGTAAGTCTGTAAAAAGAGAAGTCTCTTTACTGTGACTTAAAGTAGGGGATAAAGTCAGGACTTCAAGGTTTTGTTCATGGCTCTGCTACAGTGTGGCTAGACAGCCTGCATGAGATCTGTCTGCAGTAGAGGATGTGCCATTTCTAGTTTAAACAGAACAACTAAATAGTTGTGTGTAAAACTAATTCTGAATGGAATTAGCATTCCCTATAGCTATCCAGAATAGTACATATCTGCCTAGTATGTGCTCCTATCTTATAATTCCAGATACAGCTCTTCAGAGCTTTCCTGAGGAGCAGGTGTGAATTAGGAATGTCCACATGTAGCAAGCTACACGATAAACCAATAAGCCTCATGGTTGTGCATGTAGTCGACAGCATTATCTCCCTCCTCCGCTCTGTATCAGAGAGGCAGCAGCACGGAATGTGAGCAGGGCATGTGGGAGCCATACACATGGGAAGCCAGCTTTCAAGCCAGCTCAACGTGGGTATTGGCTTTGGCATCCCTCCCCCACTGTCTATCAGAACCAGCAGTGCAGGAGGGAGGGACAGATGGCGGCTGATGTGTGCTCCCCACTGCCTTCCTGCCTCGCACAGAGGCTGGGGGCGGGGGGGGGGGGGGGACGGGGGGCGGGGGCG